CAAGACTCTGTCTCCAAAAAAAAAAAACCTGAAATTTATACATCACGTTCTAAACTATGTGCCTCTCCAGGAGGGTGACTAAGATCGTTAAAGATCTAGAAAACCTGGCTGGGCACAGTGGGTCACACCTGTAATCCCAGCACTTTTGGAAGTCAAGATGGGCGGATCATGAGGTCAGGAGATGGAGACCATCCTAGCCAACATGGCGAAACCCCGCCTCTACTAACACTATAAAAATTTGCTGGGTAGGGTGGCGCACGCTTGTAATCCTAGCTACTTGGGAGGCTGAGACAGGAGAATCACTTGAACCCAGGAGGCAGAGGTTGCAGTGAGCTGAAATCACACCATTGCACTCTAACCTGGTGAGAGAGCAAGACTCTGTCTCCAAAAAAAATTCTAAAAAAAATCTTGTGTTAAGACAAATGACTGCAAAAACAGGAAGTGTTTGGCCTGGAGAACTGAACGTTAGAAGGATCACTTTGGCATCCCTGAATTATCTGAAAAGCTGTCTTAATTATCCTAGAAATTATTAAAATAAAAAAAAATAAAAAAAAAAAGTCCAAAAACCGCAGGCTGATTTCATCTCAATGTTAGGAAGCCTCTCCCTCACCCTGACCCCACACCCAATCCAAAAATAACTAGCAACAATTTGAGCTCATGCAATTTATGAAAACCTTAAGTTATCTGATATTTTTTTGGAGACCAGACTGGAGGACTTCTATGGTCTCTTTCAAAGCTAAATCTGTGACTGTGCTTTAAAGCCAGCAGCCAAAGGTGAAAAAGGACCAAGGCCCACACAGCAACATTAACAATCTGCACATGTGTTGAGTGAAGGAAAAAATAAAATGAGGAATGAAGAGGCCACTTATCACCTACATAAACTTAAGTCAAGAGAGTGACAAAGACAGAAGTCAGACAGCTAAATTAGAGTCGGGGCAAAAGGGAAGCAGCAGATCCTTGTTGAATATGTTAATATGAAAACCAGCATCTTGTACTAATGATAAAATATAAAAAGGGTTCTCAGCCAGGTGTGGGGGCTCACATCTATAATTCCAGCACTTTGGGAGGCCAAGGCGGGTGGATCACAAGGTCAAGAGATCGGGACCATTCTGGTCAACAAGGTGAAACCCTGTCTCTCCTAAAAATACAAAAATTAGCTGGGCATGGTGGTGCACGCCTGTAGTCCAAGCTACTCGGGAGGCTGAGGCAGAATTGCTTGAACCCAGAACGCGGAGGTTGCAGTGAGCCGAGATCGTACCATTGCACTCCAGCCTGGGTAACAACAGCGAAACTCCGTCTCCAAAAAAAAAAAAAAAAGTGTTCTCCCCCTTGACAATGTTTACTGACCAAAAGCTGTCTTTTAATGGAAAGCTAAGATGAAAAAAACCAATCTGAGGCTGGGCGAGGTGGCTCACATTGTAATCCCAGCATTTTGGGAGGCAAAAGCAGAGGGACTGCTTGAGCCCAGAACTTCAAGATCAGGCTGGGCAACATAGTGAGACTTCATCCCTATTAAAAAAAAGAAAATGCTTTGCCTACAAATTATTCTTTAAGAAAACTGTCAATAAGTGAATAACCTTTATTATATTTAAGAGAAGTCTGTTCCTTCTAGATCACATGTAGTAACTGTCAATTTGCCTTTAAAAAGTTGTGCTTTATACTAAATGATTTATAGGCACATCATTAGCAAATTGTCTAAAAATTTGAAGTTAGGCAGATTTTTGTAATAGATTCTGTGTCAGAAATTGTATTTTTAATAAATCTTCCCGGTGATTTTTAAACACACCACATATTTTGAGAATTGTTGTCTACAATAAAGGTGTCAATTCAAAAAGGACACTGATCTTGCAGTTTCCTGTCTAGAAAGCCCAGATCTTTTCTACAGCAGACACGTGTTGTTCAGGTCTCAGCTCAGGTGGCACCTTCTGGGAGATGCCCTCTCAATCCATCACACAAAACTTGTTTTTTCAGAGCAAACTCCTCTCTGCCCTCATACCTAAAATTATTTTTTTGGGGTTATCTCCACCCCATCTGGAATGCCGGCATCCCAGGCATCAAATGTCTATTTGACCATCACTTACATCCCTGGTCCCTGGAACTAGCCCTGGCACAAAGTGATTGTCAATGAGTACTCAATAAAACCAACAGTCAATGATTAGAGTTGGGATTTCAATCCAGCAGTGAATGCCTTGAAGTTCTTCACATAACACCCAATAGATGTATTTTTTCCAACTTCAGTTTGTCAAATGTAATTAAGTGCTTAGAATCTAAGAGAACGGAGAAAAAGAAGGCAGAGCATTCTGAAAATCACCTGCAAGCCTCTTAGAAAGGCGGAATCCCAGGCCCCACTCCTGACCTCCCAGTCAGAATCTGTGTTTCAATAAGATCCCTGGGTGATTCATACCACAGCCAAGACTGGAATCACTGGGTTACAGAACAGCAACAAGCCTAGAGGTTAAAACAAAAAGCCTAATAGAAATCTGCCTGGTCTGTTTACTCTCTTATTTCTATAAATAATTTGATGAAAAAGGCCCATTAACATTCCAAACAAGTAAGCTTCAAGATGCAACTGAAGAAAACTTCCCTCTGGGAGGTTCCTGGGAAGGTGAAAGATATTACATCAGTTCATTTATGTGGTTAAAAGTAATCTATTATTTTGAAAAGGCAGTAATTCCAACATTACCTTTAGAAGAAAACAAGAATTTTACCTTGACATCAAGCAAAATGTGGGAAATCTGATATCAGGCGATACGTATTAGTCAATGATAGAAAAATCCCCCAAATCTGGCTGTGGAATATGAAGGACCGCTGCTTCTGATATTCCTTCCCTGATTAGCTGAAGCAGTTTGCAAGCAGGCCCACCTGCAACGTTTCCCCCACAGCGTTTGTCCACTTTTAAAACGGAGTTCCATTAAGACCTGTCTTTTACAGGTGTTGGGATGATTAAATGACAAAATACAGAATGCTTTTAGCACAGTGTCTCACCTGCAGGAGGCACTACCCATTACTTCCCGAAATGACCTGGAAGCTGCCGAAAGGTGGAGAACCTGTCTTACCAACCTCTCTATCCTCCTCTCCATCACAACAAAGGAGCTCTAATAACTAAATAAATTGCAAAACGTAGGGGGAAAAGAAAAGTTCCTTTGAGGAAATATCTGTGCCTTCCACCGCCCCTTAAGATGTCTATTTTAAAGCACCATTAAGGAAATATTCATAAAGGCCGGGTGTGGTGGCTCGCACCTGTCATCCCAGCACTTTGGGAGGCCAAAACGGGGAATCACCTGAGGTAGACAATTCGAGACCAGCCTGACCAACACGGAGAAACCCGTCTCTATTAAAAATACAAAACTTAGCCGTGCGTTGCAGCAGGTGTCTGTAGTTCCAGCTACTCCGTAGTCTGGACAGAAGAACCTCTTGAACCCGGGGAGGCGCCGGTTGCAGTGAGCCAAGATTGCACCACTGCACTCCAGCCTGGGCGACAGAGCGAGACTTCGTCACACACACACACACACAAAACCAACTCACATGTACAGTGCAACAGAACTATTGTTACTATTGTTACACTTGGGAATGCCTGGTTTTCTATCACAGCAGGAATCACCCTAAGTGCCTTCATGGGAAGCGTTTCTCTTTTCCAGGGATCCCAATAATACACCTGTTGCCTCGGGAGCACACACTAATCTGCTTGGAAAGCCGCCTCCTCCTCGCCCGGGGTAATTTCCCAAGCGGGCAGTGTGGCCAGCGAGCCCCGGGTCCCGCCTGAGGATGCAGCGGTTTTTCCTTGGGCGGGTGGCTTCACGAGGAGCTCCAGGGGCTCGGCGCCGCTCCCAACCCCTAGGCGCAGAGGCCATCTTGGCCGTCGACCCCTGCTTCCCGCAGGCTTCCTCCGACGCAGGAAACATGGCTGGCGCGCGGGTCCGGTCCTGCCCCGGAGGTCCCCAAACTCCGTGGCCCAGCCGGGCGCGGGTCCCGGCGTCCGTGCGTCCCGCGGCGCACCTGGGCAGCGCGCGCCTGCGTTCGCCCGGCAGGCACCGCCCGGAGGCAGTTCCGCCCCCCTGACTGCAGCCTTTTGGTCACGGATGAGAATCCGAAGCGTGAACAGCTTCCCTAGAAGTCCAGCCTCACTCGAAATTAACTCCTCGTCCCCCAGCTTAAATCGACGCCGGTTCACAAAACTCCCAACAAGCGGATTCGAAGTAGCCAGTGTGGCCCACACCGTGACTCCCACAATATTTCACAGATTGAATCCAGCACCCCTCTCCCCGGAATTCCCAAAGGGGTGGAGCGGTGTGGGGGCAGAAGGGATGAAATTCCCCCCTAGGATGTAAGTCGCCCGGGCCAGCGAACAGCCCCCACGCAGTAGCCTCCGGCTTGGGAGCCCCTCTGCATGAGGGCCGCACCGCAAAACGGCAGCCCCTGAGCTGATGCAGGAATGTCGCGTCCCAGAAAAGTGAAAAGTTGCCCGCGCTGCCGGGGCACTGCCAGCTTTAAGCGTTTCCGAGTAATAAAGTTTGATCGACGGCTTCAAGCCGCCCCTCGCCCGGGGAGGCGGCCTCCCAAGTTGGCCGGCGCTGCTCTCTCCGCAGATCCGCGCCTCTCCGGTTACCACAAGTACCAGCCCGGGATCGAAACTGCCACCGAAACCAGCGCTGGGCGTTCTCCCCCGCCCGTCCCCTAACAGAGGCGCCGCGGTCCCCCTACGGGGACCCTCGGGCTCCCGTGCGCCCCCTGCGCTGCGCTCAACACTCACCCACTCGCCGCAGCTGGGCCCGACCCACCGAGGGCCGCCGGAGCCAGGGAGCGCGCTCACCTGGCGGCCACACCTGACGCCGCGCCGACCGCCAGCGCGCGGCCGGGGACAGGGCTGGGGACGTCTCAGCCCTCCTCCCGCCCCTCCTCCCAATCCTCTCCCTCCTCCCCACACCCGGCCCTGCCCCCGGGCATGCGCACCAACGTGAAGGGGTGCGGGAGGCCCGCGGGCTCGCGCCTGCGAGTCCCACCTGCTACGTCCGGGACGGGCTCCTCTGCGCTCTGGCCCTAGCTCCTGGTTCCTGGCGTCTCCGCCGGAGGAAGCGGGGAGGGAGAGGTGGGCGCGGGAGTGAAGGTGTGGTGTGTCGGCCTCCTCCCTCAGTGACCCATTCACCTGAAACTCGGATGGGAGGGGGCGGGAGGACGCGGCCCTGCTCCCCACACCCGGCCAGCTTGCTGTTAAAGGAACCGCGCGGCGTTCCGGCCCGAGGGGCGGGGCGCGGAGGAGAGGCGCGCTCTCCCACGGGCAGCACGGGTGGGGGTCCTGGACCACCTCGGGGCGCGCTCTTGGTGCTCCTCCTGCCTCTGTTGGAACCTCGAGCTGCCTGACGAGGAGAAGCAGAACAAGGGCCGGAGGGGACTTGTTAGCTCCGGAAAGAGGGCCCAGATACTCAGCACTTTGCTAGGAAAGGCACGTCCTCCTGGGACGCTTTTCTGCTTCCAAAATTTGATTAAACTGTTGCTGGAAAAAGGCATCCATATATGTTGCTCCAACGAAAGACTCCGGGGAAGATTTCAAAAATCGTGTGTAAATACTGGCGCTGTTTCTGAATCTCTAGATTCAGAATAAGACAATTACTTAGGGGGGGTTAAAATGAATGTTAACTACTGTAGCTATTAGTGTCAGTCAGTTGCCGTCCAGCAGGCTAAAGTGCGTAATACAGTTTACACATCACCACCTCAGGGTCCTCTCCTGCCCACCTGCTCCCAAATACAAATGGTGTGATCGAGAGTCTGCTCTTGGGGACGGGGAGATTTAAACTATTCTGGCTTTTTGCCCTAAGAAAAAGCACCTTCTACATTACCAAACTGTAGTGCTTTAAGAACACTACTTAAAAAGCAAAATAAACTTGGTTTACTTTTTTTTTTTTTTTTTTAAAGAAAACGAAAAAGCACCTTAGTTCTGGTTGCTGTGTTCTATTTCTTGATCTGGATTCTGGTTCCACAGGAAATTTCATATTCTGCACTTAACACTGTGTATACTTTTATGTACGTTTGTTGTTTTTCAACATATTTTTTAATTGCACCCTAGGATGTGGCAATTATAGTTCTTGGCATTTAACTATCTGCATTGAAAACGAACTTTTAGGTTTCTTAAATCCTGGTTGTCTTTGTGTTCCAGACTGGAATGTCAGCATTGCTAATAAATTTCTATCCAATCCCATCCACTTCTCTACCTTTAATTAAATGGTTAGAGATGTGACTCTCCCATACATTAGATCTTAAGGCACAATTCATACTGAAGGAAGTAAAAGCACTATATAAATATGAGGTATTTCAGATGATGACAGCTTTAATGAGTAATTAATTTAATTGGTATTTTTTATGGAAGTCATTGCTACAAATGCTTTAATATGACTATGTAGTTTTTGAATGATGCAGTTTAAATTGGTATTGTTAACACTAGGGAAGTCAGGTTAATCCTCTTAATGTTCCCTGTCAGATTACTGAAATCTCCTAACATTCCACTTGGTTTATAATTAAACAAGGGAACATTTCCTAATACTCTCAGATTTGTAAACACATGTCTATTATTTCATAATGTATTTTGACATGTTCTGAAGACGGGATCTTAGGAGTTTTTTTTGACTTTATAAAAGAGAGTTCACATACCATAAAATTCACCCTTTTAAAGGGCACATACAATTCAGTGGGTTTTAGTATATTCACCAGATTGTACAACCATCACCACTATTTAATTCCAGGACATTTTCATCACCCCAAAAACAAACCCCATGCCCATTAGTAGTCACTCTCCATTTCCCCTCCCCCCATCCCCCAGCAACCACTAATGTACTTTCTGTCTCTATTAATTTCCTTGTTCTGGACATTTTATATGAATGGATAATACAATATGTGGCCTTTGTGGCTGTCTTCTTTCACTTAGCATAATGTTTTCAAGGTTCATCCATGTTGTAGTATGTATCAGTACTTCATTCCTTTTTATATCTGAATAATATTCCATTGTATCAATGTATCACATTTTGTTAAATCATTCATCAGTTGTTGGACACTTGTGTTGTTTTTCCTTTTGGGATACTATGAATAATGTTACTATGAACATTTGTGTACAAGTTTCTGTGTGGCCATATGCTTTCAGTTCTCTTGGGTAAATTAGGCTTTTAAATTAAACTTTTTATCATTTTTTTAATTATTTATTTATTTTTTGAGACAGAGTTTTGCTGTTTTTACCCAGACTGGAGTGCAATGGCACGATCTCGGCTCACCGCAACCTCCGCCTTCTGGATTCAAGCAATTCTCCTGCCTCAGCCTCCCGAGTAGCTGAGACTACAGGCGCACACCACCATGCCCAGCTAATTTTTGTATTTTTAGTAGAGATGGGGTTTCACCTTGTTGACCAGGATGGTCTCGATCTCTTGACCTCGTGATCCACCCACCTCGGCCTCCCAAAGTGCTGGGATTATAGGCGTGAGCCACCACACCCGGCCTAAAATTTTTATTTTTTATTTGTCTATTTATTTTTTGAGACCGGGTTTCACCATGTTGGCCAGGCTAGTCTTGAACTTCTAGCCTGGACCTCAGGTGATCCGCCCGCCTTGGCCTCCCAAAGTGCTGGGATCACAGGTGTAACTTTTTATAATTTTAAGATAATAACGTATGCATATCACATTCTTTTTCTTATTCTCACCCTAAAACTAAACTCAAAGACATGTGTTGGGTAGAAGGTTAGCTTTCATATTTTATTTGCTTTCCCAATTCATTCCCTCAACAACTATTTTCTGAGTGCCTACTCTGTACACACGAGTGAACAAAACTCAAAAATCTCTGCGAAACTTACTTTCTAGTTAGTTCTGAGTTCATCCATATGGAATAATAGGATTCATTAAAAGTTGAATTATATGAATTATAGTTTATTCACTTGAGATTAATTTTCTAAACAACACTCACAACATCAAAAGAGCTGTAACTATTGCCCAATGTTGTGTATATTTGATAGTCGAAAGTGTCTGGAAAGAAAATCCAGCCTTAAAACTTAAGTACGTCATTCTCAATACCAAAACGAAATTTGTTGGATGCTAAATGATGCCATGCTTGATTTAATCATGTTACATAATCATAGATTGTAGCAAAATTTATTTACTATTTTTACCAAATATTTTTTCTTGGCAAACTCACAGTAATATTGGGTAGTATCCACTATTGAATATTATTTGATAAACATCCCATGACTCAGAGCAATGTAAATATTATTTTCAGAAGAACCCCATGATTAGAAACTTCTTGACTTTCACTGCAGTCAAATGGATAAGATTTTTTTAAAAAAGCAATTATTTTCTCCTTTTTTATGTGTAAAGGAGAAAAGAGCTCAGATTATGGTGTCAGAAATCTCAGTTCAAATTTCAGTGTTGCTACTTGGTAGCTGGGTAGTACTAAAGGAAATTAAACTACATAAGCCTCATTTGTTCCACCGTGAATTTGAGAGGATAATAAACAATACTATCTTTATAAGTCTGTTGGTGGGAATGTGGAACATTCACCTAGACAGACTATATGCTGAGCCATAAAACAAGTCTCAATAAATTTAACAAGTCATTGCTGTATCCCATCTGCCTGAAATAGTCCCTGTCACACAGGAATTCCATAACTATGAGTTGGATGAATGAATGAATGACTGTAGCCCTGCTTCCCAAATCCAAGTCTTGTCCTCCCCTCAGATGGCCTCCTGCCATTGTGAAACCTGCACATTCCTTAGTAGCATTTCAAAACTGACATCTCTAATACTAGGGTTTAGAGGAGAAAAGACGGGAGATTAAAATAGTTCCACTGTTTCCACTCTGCCTTGCCTGCTTAGTAAGTGAATTCAAGGATTGGTATGTATCCAAGGGCAACTCAGTTTGGAGTTGCTGAGAGCCTGGCCTGAAAGGCCTCTAGTTTCCCCACCCAATCGTGAGGAGGGAGGCTCCTGGTACACATAGGACAGTTTCCTTGGATAGGTGTATGGGAGAATTTATGAGGAAGCCACCAGGAAGACAATTTCTAATAGGATAATTACACTAGATGAGTAAACCTTTATCTCCTCAATTCCTATGAGTTAAGCAAGATCTTCCTGGAAGGAATCCAAATTTAAACAAAGAGACTCAGCACCAGGACAGGAACTTCAGCAGGTGGAAGAATAATAATAGCACCATTTACTCAGGGAGAAACATGTTCTAGGTACTATGCTAAGTGGTTTTTTTTGTTTGTTTGTTTGGTTGTTTGTTTTGAAATGGAGTCTTCTCCGTAGCCCAGGCTGAAGTGCAGTGGTGTGATCTGCTCACTGCAACCTCCACCTACCAGGTTCAAATGATTCTCCTGCCTCAGCCTCCTGAATAGCTGGGACTACAGGCACCTGCCACCACACCAGGCTAATTTTTGTATTTTTAGTAGAGATGGGGTTTCACCTTGTTGTTCAGGCTGATCGAGAACTCCTGACCTTAGGTGATACTCACGCCTCGGCCTCTCAAAGCTCTGGGATTATAGGGGTGAACCACCATGCCAGGCCGTTTTATGTGTGTTTTAGATTTTTTTTGTGGGGGGGATTTTTCTTCTCTTTTTTTTTTTCTTTGAGACAGAGTCTCCTGAGTAGCTGAGATTATGGGCACGCCCAGTTAATTTTTGTATTTTTAATAGAGATGGGGTTTCACCATGTTGGTCAAGCTGGTCTTGAACTCCTGACTCAAGTGATCCACCTGCCTCAGCCTCCCAAACTGCTGAGATTACAGAAGTAAGCCATCATGCCAGCCAGTTTTTATTTTTATTTTTTATGTTTATTTTTTGGTCTTTACAACAACCTTATGATGTATTATTATTTTCCCCATTTTACACATTGTAAAACTAAAGCTCAGAAAGGATTGATCATTTACTCAAGTTATCTGCTAAATTATAGAGTCAGGACTCAAATACAGGTCATCTGATTCCTGAATGAATGTTCTTAACAGTTTTACTATATTTTAGGACTACTTTTTGTCTGTAGGCAATGTAGGCAATATTCTGTTTCTTCCTGAGTGCAGGTTACATGACTGTTAGCTTTACAACAATTTATCAAGCTGTACGTATTTATTTTATATACATTTTTATAGGAATTTTGTATTTTATAATAAAAACATTTTTTTTGGAATCAGAGTCTTACTCTGTCACCCAGGCTGGTGTGTAGTACCATGATCATAACTCACTGCAGCCTCTATCTCCTGGGCTCAAATGATCTTCTCACCTCAGCCTCCTGAGTAGCTGGGACTACAGGCACACACCCACAACTGGCTGATTTCTTTTTTTTTTTTTTTAACCATCAGATCTCATGAGAATTTTTTTTTTCTTTTTTTTTGAGACAGAGTCTCCCTCT